GACCAGACTGTATTGGGATCCACATGCGTCGACCGAGGACAACACCTCGTTCGTTCGGGTACCGGCAGTGATGGTGGAAGTGAGGATGGGGCTCACGGGTTCCGCAGTCGGGACGTTCCGTGTGCTGTCCGGTCTGGACGAGCTCGAACGTGGCAAATCCGACTCGTTTGTGGATTGTGTCACGGGGTGCGGTGTGTGCAGAGTCAATTCACTTTGCCAATCCCTTTGGCTCAGTGCCCCGGATTGCCATGCCATACCGGTGATGGAAGATATACGCTCGTACATCAATCGTTGTCGTTTGTCTGTGACCAGTCTAGGTAACGAACCGGGAGCCTGAGAAGAAAAGGACAGGGGAACCTCGAGGCGAATCAACGTTATTGACATTTCAATCCACATACAAGATGTAAACAAACTGAAGTTGACCAAAGTAGGACACATGACGGTTCAAAAGGGTTCAAATAGGATGCCCTAAACAGTCAATTTAAACAAGTAACTCCGTTTTGTATACCCTCATTCCCCTATCCCGTTATTATTACTGTTGGGGCGATTATTATATTTTCTAGAAAAGGAAAAACTGCCACACGCTTCAGGTGAGAAGTAACTGGGTATCATCATTCGAGAAAACGTAAGCTGCTCACTAACGGTGTCGAACGCAGCTGTACAGAATGTCCGTTTGCTCAAGCGGGTCTTTGGCCGGTTTGAGTCAGCGCTTTTCCCATGTCTACTATCAGCATACATTCGCCCACTGACCGTGTACGCCATTCAGGCATGGAATCCATGGCTACAACACGATTGCAAGATGCTGGAGCGTCCACAAAGGATGGCCACCAAAATGATCAGGGGGTTGAATCGGTGTTCATACGCAGAGAGATTGAAGTCACTGGGGTTATATTCCAATCACTACCGGCGCATCAGAGGAGATATGAGCATGGTATACCAAATAATGCAAAACCCAAGCCATCCGTGTCAACCGCTTCTGAAATTATCACCCAACATTCATCTGAGAGGACATCCGTTCAAATTAGTGGTCTCAAAATGCCGATTTGAATGCCGGCATCAGTCATCGGCAGTCAGAGTTTGTTCGATCTGGAACTCTCTCCAATCCTATGTCGTCTGTGCTCCAAGCATTGAATCGTTCAAACTGAGACTTGTTGAAGCATTAGCACACCTTAAATTCCAACATAAGTGAAGCTGTGTGCAGTAGTGGAAGAAGCACGTATCACGTGATATTTTACACAAGGAATTGTATGTATCACTGTTTTTTAACCACCACACGAGCCTACGGGACGAGAAAAACATGAGCTTGTAAGTTATTCCCATAATAAATTTTTGAATCTTTGAATCTGGACACTGCTCATTGACTGGATAACTCCTGTGAGCAACAGATCACAGCAATTTGTCGAGGTGTCACATGACGTGGCACTGGACAAGCGTCTCTCGATTAAACATACACACACACATACACAGGTAGAATGTGTTGGATAGGTTGAAACAAAGACAGCTGAAGTTTAGTGCATTGTTTCAGTTTTTTGTGTGCATGGAATCGGTTTCCACTAGTTTGAACGAAAAAGAAAACGGTTTAGTTTCACACTACAATTGGATGAACTTACAAAAGCCTCAGTACGGTCGGGGGTGGGTGTCTCGGGTTGCGGCTGTTCACTCCTCCCTTGCACCTCACGGAATACTCCCATATGGCCAAGCGTCTGCTGAAGAGTTTCTGCCACTTGCCTTCTCATGGCGGAGGTGTTTTCCCACCAAACTGACATGATGAAAAACTTATATCCGGGACTATAGCCGGGTCCGTGAACCACTAGCAGTTCATCTAGGGGAGTTGACTAAAATCCCTTATTCGGAATAAAACAAGATGAAGCCTACGAATCACACCCATCCGCAACTGCCTGGTCTTGGCAGTGGTCACCGGCTCGATTGGGCATCGAGGTGTATTGGGTATCTTGGACGTTTGACCCCGTCCAAAGGGCGTACGATTCGATGAACTGGACACCGACCCCCAATAGATTGGGGTTTTCACACACCGCCCTACTGCCCTGCAGGTCAGGCCTTGGCTAACCGAAGGCTTCGGTTGTGGATTACTCAGGCGAACTCACCTGCCTTAGCCTTGGCCACCTGGCGATATTCCACCCACAATCACATCATGGAACTTTCTCTTTTTCTAAAGATTATTCAACTATGATTTATCTGGCACACAGTCCGGATTCCGACGTGTGTGAATTGCATAGTTACAAATTATGACCCAAATTGGTGCTGTGAATCAATCAAGAAAATTCGACGGAGACAGTATACGAACAGCGAGATAAGCGGAAAAAGGAAATTGAAGTTGTAAATGACTATTTTCAAATTGGAGTGACCGGATAGAATAGAAATATCTTTATATGAATTTG